ATGGATAAAAATACTTCACTAAGAAATATGACTTTTTTGTAATATTAACTGAAAGACTGCCGAATTTTGTGAAGATATACCCAATATATAGAGAGTTATAAGTATTAAGTTTATATCAACTTTAAACGAGTACAAAAGGTCACGTTACTCGGTGAAATTGACCGATACCGTGTTGGGAGAGATAAAATCTTTCGAATTCAGTAATATAAATATATGGAAAAATATTTTCAGTTATATGAGCTGAGATTGGCTTATATTTATGTATTATTTTGTGTCTTTCTTTTAGGGTTTGTTCTTAGCCGTTCTGTATTGCTTTACCAATTCAGAGGTGAGATTTTGTTGTTTTCTATTTAATTGAAAGTTATTTTAAACACAATTATTTGATGAAGTTTACTTTTATGCTTTTTAATATTCTCAGCTAAATTTCATTTTGATGAGACGTTCTAACTGAGCAAAAATCATGAATTTTATTCATTACTTTAAATAAACTTACATTATTTTATGAATATAACTTTGACAATTTATTCGCAAATCATCTTGTTTTCAGGTACAAGCAGCATTACGAAATGCCTATCTACGTTCGCAAATACAAAGCTCCACACGCCGAAGCTCCTCTAATTCACGAACTGCGTCCAACGTAAACAGTGAAGCAATTGCTGAAGCTTCGTGCAATAAGAAGTTACTTTCAAAGAAGTGCATTCTACCACTTCATGATTGTCAAGAAACTGAAAACTCTGTTACCAGTGAGGATAACAGTAGAGAAAAATCAGATCACAATCGCCCGTTCGTCGGCTAAATTTGATATCATAGCAATCAGTAGAAACTATAACATACCATAGATTTTTAAAATGAATTGAATAATTATATATATATTTTGATTTCGCATAAAAAAACGAGTTTCAGCATTGTATTAGTCTTTGGCATTTGTGACTGTACAAAGGACAAGAGTGGTTTTTGAATTCAAATGTTCACAGATTGCAAATAATATGTTAAAGGTAGTGATTAATACCCCCAGAATTATAGTTCAAGAACTTTTACTCTTACAAACTTAATCAAGGTAACTGAGGTTGAGAGGAAAATATTGTGATGCAAGAAAAACATACACTATTCTCATTGGTAAATACTGGTTATTGTTTTATTTTTATTTTATTTTACGTTCGCTCGTGATTTTCAAATTGCTACAACTTTGTTTCGGATTTTGGCCCGATCGATACAACTTTCTTATTTGAAGAGACCCTCATCCAAAATTTTACACGTTAACATTTTTCATGAATTTGTGGCACTTAGTGTGATCCCTTTTGTATCTTTGTAAATTTCTTTTCCCATTATGATACATGGTTTGTCATACAAAGTGTTCAAAAGACGAACACCGATTTTATAACAACACTTTAATATAAGCAGAATTTATATTTTGTCTTATCATAAAGAGATAATCTGCTTACTAAGATAAAGTAAACAAAAATTGCAATAGCGATCGCCATTATAGCTTTATTTTTTGACACAGTAAAAGTTAATTTTAACAAATTTTGTTTTTTAAGGTTTATTATGTATATCCTTTATTATTACAGGTTACCAAGCAACAAAGTGCAACACATCTGGTGATTTTTAGTCATGTATATATGGTAGTAGCATTGAATAGTTGCTATGGTAGCATCTCTAGAACTATTAAATCTAGGTTTTTGACTTATTTGCATTTGTAACAGGAGCACTTTAGTAATATTGAGTCAGATTTCGCTAATTAAAAGATTATGTAAAATTAGCATTCTTATAAACTTTTTAAATAATAGATGACATTCCGTTTTCTAATGTTAATTCTGTTAGTAAGAAAAGTTACTACTTTATACATATAACTAGCAGATCAAAATAGGGATGAGAAAATGGCAATACAGGTGTGTTTGTTAGAAGCGAAAATGCCGCATCAAGAACTACGAAGGTGTGCAATATGAGAAACTAGATAGTTTTCACAGAATTATTGTCAATATAAAGGGTACTAGTTCGAGATATTAGTAACGTATGTGTCATGAGGGCAGAAAGATTTGATGAAACACAAAATTGTAAAATAAACTGAAGGTCTCATAGACTGTTAAAGATTTGGGGAAGTTGGCTGGTTTAAGTTCCCATTCTGGGATCTATAATTGAAGAAGACTGTAAAATAAAATGGAAATCTCATAGATTTGGGGAAGTTGTCTAATATAAGTTACCATCCTGGAATCTATAATTGCTCTCTGCTGATCACCTATTTTTTGTAAACTCTAGAAAAAATGTAAATAAAAGGGTAACAATGATATCTTAAGTCGAGTATTATAGCTAGGATTTGAGCCATTACACAGTAGCTAAAGAGAAGCGTTTGTCACTTTTGATTACTGTTCATAGTAAACGGAACCACTTTTAATGTACCATATACATGTACATATTTATAGTCATTTATTTTCCATTGGAATAATATAAAAGTATATCAACGTAGATGGTTGGGCGTCCTGAAAACTACTGTTATATAGCTTCGATTCTAGGCATTCTTTCATTTTTTGAGATCGGAAGTAGCGTAGTGGTTAATATACTCGGACTGCGAAACTAAAGACTCATGGTTCGCGACCCGTTGCTGCAAGAATACCCTCAGTAGTTTAGAGCTGTGGTTGCGCTATGAGAGTGAAAGCCAAATACCGTCATTTGATCAGATAAATGTAGCCCTAAAGTTGACAGTGAAAACTGTTGACTAGTTTCCTTCCCTCTAGCGCATCAGTTCAAAATAAAAGACGGCTATTCGCGCATAGCCCTTTTTTACAGCTCTACGTAAAAATTCTATGAAACCTAAATTATTCTTTTTTTTTCCCGTCATCTAAATGATGATTTCATCTTCTCTTTCTTTTTATTATTCGGAAGTAGATCAAGATTGTAACAGATATTTAATAATAGTAAATTGACAAACAACGATTTATAGGCATCACAAAGAGGCTTTATTTTGTAGAAACAGACTACATGTTTCGACAAAGTATTGGTCAACATGAAAATATAGAATATTTAAAAGACTTGGAAGCAGTAAAAGTGATTTTATGATAATAAAATTTGGATTGTATGAAATGAGAGGACATTTGCTTTAGATTAGGACCCAATAAATTCTAAATAAGCTCCTCCAGGGGATTTAACTTTTGTTAATGTGTTGTTCAACTCGCTGTGTTTATTCACTTAACCCTACTTACTCATTAAACAGTGAACAATAGTATCCATAGTCAAACGTTAAAATATATGTAGTAAGCAGCTAAATTATTCAGGATTTCTATTATCGGGGTTTCATGTATTGAATCGCGTCGCTGTTCTAAGCGAATAGGCAAACACGTTGTACAAATATTCTTAATCATAGATGTGTATGCTCTGTAATGTCACGTGCGTGTTATTGACCTGGGTTAACTCTGATGAACAACCGTAGTGGAATAACATGCAATATGAACTTTAGAAGACTTTAAAAATATAAGTAGATCAAAAGCAAGAATATAGTGATCAAAGTGATTTAGTCATTATAAATTTTGGACAAAAATATAACAATTGCTGTTAGACTCGTTAAGCCTTACCAATGTATCTTAAATGTGCAATCTTGTAGTCAGCTTTCTTCGTTTATTAAATTATTATCCAAGATTAGAATTACACTGAATGATTGACTCATAGCATTTCTAGAAATTCTTATATGGATGTGTAATTTCAAACAGTATTGCCTCATCTAAAAGATTCATGATAATGTGTTAACCCTGTTTTTGTATATTGCAATAAGATTTTTATAGTCAGATCAATAAAGTGGATTATATAATCTTGTGCGTCGTACATTTATTTAAATGTCTAATAAGAAATATCCTTAAGTACATTACATATTTGTCCTGAAGCTGACCAAAGACTATTATAACTGAGCTTAATTTCCAAATGTTATTTGCTTCACACCAAATTGCCCCCCAGTGGCACAGCGGTATGTCTGCGGACTTACAACGCTAGAGTCCAGGTTACGATACCCGTGGTGGGCAGAGCACAGGTAGCCCATTGTGTAGCTTTGTGCTTAATTACAAACAAACAAACAAAGAAATCACACCAAATTTAAGTACTTATGCAAAAATATATAAAAAATAGCTTCATTTTCCAGGTAGCTAAAGTGAAAATACCTGGTAAACTGGCTCAGTAGTCTTCTTCAGTGTTTTCTGCATACACTTTGAAGTGTGAAGCTTAAAAATCGCTGCAAATTTTGCTTTAATTATTTTTTTTATAAGATTGCCTTAGAGTTTAGAAGACATTTGAGCTGGGAAAACGTGATTTATCGCGGCAGGTTTAGCGACACTGATTCATCTATTTGAACTTACATAAAAATACCACGGATCTGGAGATTCATGGTTCGCGTTCCGTTACAGTAGAATCGTGCTTCGCTCTTTGAGTACTTATGTGTATGATAATCAAATCCCACTTTTCGATTACAATAACCCACGAGATTGTGCTGAATAGCCGTATTTTCTCTACTCTATGAGCTCAAAATTAAGGACAAGTAGTGCAGATAGCCCATATATAATAGCTACCTGAAATAATCAAATTTATATTCTTCATTTGCATGAAAAACATTATCTTCATACTGCTCTGTGTAATATAGGTGTAGAATGGTCCTTTCCAAGATCTTTGACATTTAAAACCTAGACTTGTTCCATTCATTAATTTTATTATCTTAGTTCTAATTTAATTTATAGTTATCGTTCTCTTATTTTGTTCATGTAGTATTGATAATTTTCTTATTTCTGATTTTTTTTATAATCATATTTGTACTCATAGATATGCAAAGTAATTCAAGAACGGAAACGGACATTTTCTTTGATTTCATTTATATTCCTATGATGATAGTGGTCTTGAAATGTTCTTAGTTGAGTTGTGACAAGAAGTTTCTAAGGTGCGTTTGAAGTGTACTTTTATCACATGTTCATATGTTGGATACTAAGTGCTTTAACCCACAACTTTCCAAAACTTCCTGCAATTCACCATCCGCAACCGGCTATGGGTATGGTAGTTCCCCTAAAAATCCTGAAAAAAGATATTAAAGTTACAGCATTATAGTATATTTTTTATTTTTAAAAACACCTTTGTTTTATACATTTTTGAAACACCAGATCTCCACACGTTAAACTTAATATAATTGTAGAAATTATTATATACATAGTTTCATCACATTACGATAGTCCAAGGGAATACAACCATATCATATGTTGTTTAACACCTGAGCAATTTAAATAAGAGAAAACGACAAAGATTACGTTTCTCAAAACTATACTTATATGCAAGGAATATTTAATTATAACTGCCCCCAGTGGCACAGCGGTATGTCTGCGTACTTACAACACTAGAAACCAGGTTTCGATACCCGTGGCGGGCAAAGCATAGATAGCCCATTGTGTAGCTTTGTGCTTAACTTCAAACAAACGAACAAATAATTATAACTACTAAGGTTTTTCGTGGAAAAAAAATTTTTATGTATTTGTGATTTTGGTGCTTTTTGAACATTTTTATTTCATTACAATTTGATCTCAGATTTGTTAAACACACTCTCTATTTGTATTGGCCCGGCATGGCCAGGTGGTCAGGGCACTTGACTCGCAATCTGAAGGTTTCGGCTTCGAAACCCATCCCACCAAACATGCTCGCCCTTTCAGCCGTGGGGGGCGTTGTAAAGTGACGGTCAATCTTACTATTCGTTGGTAAAATAGTAGCCCAACAGTTGTTGGTGGGTGGTGATGACTAGCTGCCTTCCCTCTAGTTTTTAACTGCTAAGTTAGGGATGGTTAAC